CCTTTCTAGCTTGTTGTTTGCTGTTCACTCAATATTCTCCTAGATAGCTGGTGAAGCCCTTCCTCCCTGAGGTCTGAGCTGCTAAGTTCACTGATGCAGGAAAGTCTCCAGGGCTTCTCCTTGCCCTCAGAATGACAATGAAGTCTTTCTCCATGATCTTGGCCCTTTCGGTCAGTCTAGTCTTCCTCCTCTGTGCTCTACCACACTGTGGTTCCTTCCACTTTCCTAACAAACACCCTTCTCTTCTGTGTTCAAAACCATCTACTTACTGATCTAGATTTCAGCCAGGTAATGGCTTCCCAAGGACTCCAGTCTAGTATCTCATTTGCACTTCTACAGATCCCAATACCATATCCTTTATTGTTTCCTCTGATAGGCATTCTGTTAGGTCACATCTAGATAGGTCTGTGTAGGCCCTGCCTTTGGCATCCAGAGAGCCTCTATAATGAGGGAACTGTTTGGTGGCCATGGAAATATTCACCCTAAGGCCATCTTCCTTGTTGTAATATATGGAAGCTCCAATCTCTCTAATGGTGACTAAGGTAGGAGGATTAATAGCAACCAGAAGCTTTTCTGTCACTATCTTTTCAGCGAAAATGTTACATACACACTCTGTGGCCTTAATGGTGCCTTCTGCGTGATCTTCTTATTCAAAATGAAGTCTATGCTCCTGCATTCCCTAGGGCTTACCCAGTCTTGTTAATTCTGGGTCTGCATTTTATCCAGGACCCTGGCTGATCTGTGGGGACATTCAGGTTGGAGAAGTGCTCCCTGAAAGATGTCATGTTTCCTTATCCATGCAAGCCTGCTGATACAGTAGAACATCTGGGGTGATTTGATGTACCTATAGAATCATCTCAACCTAGAGAACACAGGAGCAGTGAGTGTTAAACTACATGGTCTTATCTCTCTCTCTCTCTCTCTCTCTCTCTCTATATATATATATATATATATATATATATAATGCATCATTGTGAAGGTTTGAAGGAAAGGTGTTGTTTGGGCCCATGGAAAAACTTGCAATTGAGTGAACTTCCGAGTGAGGCATGCCTAACTTCCTGGAGCCCTCTGCCCAGGGCTAAGGGAGTTTCTTGGGGACTGGAGAGCTAACTCTGTAGACTGGGAAGTTCAGATCCATTTGTCTATCATCTGGGTCACTTATGGGGAAGAAATAGTAAAAGACCACCATGGAGGTCCATCTCCAGAGCTATCTTTTGTAGGAACAATCATCCTGCATGAAGGGACTGTGAGTGTGGGTTTCAGCTGGCAGGGTCAGGTAGAAATGATATAACCTATTATGTAACTATTATCAGCAGTAGCAGCCAGAGACTCAGTGTTTATTTTATAGATCTGTATCAAGGAGGTGGGTTTATTGTATGCAGCTGAACAAAAGAGGGTCAGCTGATCTCTGTAGGGAGTCTCTGTGGAGCAGTCTTAGACTGTGCATATCAGGGAAGGGGAAGCTGCTGTTGATACTTTCTAAATACTCATCAACATCTGTATACAGCCCAGGGGACAGGGGCTGCCATTCCTGTGAGACTGAGGTCCTGGGGTCCTTGACATGGCTGTGCTCCTGTCAACAATACACATTGACTCAGGAGCTCATCTGCTCCCCCACAGGATCCTGCTCCAAGCCCTTGTAGAACAACTAAGTCAGCTGACAAAATTTCACCCAACAGCAAGAGGGAAAGGGCACACTGAGGTGACTCGGGCAGACACATTGTGGGAGAGCCATGACATTAGCGCGCCTCTGCCCAGCGGTAAGCTAGCTGTGTGTGCACTTCTTTGCTCGTTTCTGGTAGAGTCCTTCATCCCACAAGCACATCACTTCTCAAACTGTCAGTCACAACAAAGATGCAGTGTGTGCTTTGAGGTCTCATGCTCTCTGTCCAAAGGGGAAAAGGAGCGCTAAGCTCCCATAGTGAGCTGCCACCTTTCACTTGTCAGTGGTGCTGCCTCAGACTCACTTTCCAGAGTGAGATAGATGAGCATGCTTGGTGCCCAGGGTTCATGTTTTGCATACAAATCCTTCCTTCTCTTGCTGCCAGCTGGATCCCTGACTAGTCCCCCTCTACTCACTGGGGAGTGAAGCTAGCAAGTGAGTCTTTAGTGTGTGTGTTAAGTGATACCTCGGAAGCTGTGAGAAGTACAGTTCTGCCCTCAAGGAGCTCATGTGTTCTCTGAGAAGACAAAACCAATCCACAGTAAAGAGATGGGAGCTGGAAAACCATAGTCTGGAGAGACCACACCTTGGCTAAGTGTGAAATAAAGCTGGTGGCTGAGCCAGTATCTTATATGCAGGTGAGTAAGGCCAGGGCCAGGTGAGCAAGGCAAGGGCCATCATGTGGGAGGGGTTATTGTGACAGAGATCAGGGGCCACTGCTCTGGACCATCATTGCCTGGGAGGAGCTGGCTGCAGTGAAGGCTTGGAGGGGTGCTGATTGGGAGTGTTCCCAGGAAGCAGGGCTCCTGAACATGATGGATTGCTTTCATTGTGCTGCAAACCCTCCTGCCTGCAAGGAAATGGCTTAGAACAGGTACAGGAATTTAACCTGCCAAATTGTGTTGGCTGACTTGAGCTGCTAGTGGGAAGTGAGCCAGGGAGGGGTCTAGGCGCTCCCACAGAACTACTGGGAATCTCACCTTGCTTCCTCCATGGGTCTCGGGGCTTGGGCTCACTGAGGTTCCTCACTCTGACTTCAAGAACTCAGCCATCTCACCCAATCAGCCTTTCTAATCATGCCTCCTCCATTTCCTATTCATAGCAGTCTCTGAAAACTAGGCTACCCTTCTCCCCCCAAAAGACATCCCCTTTCTGGACTTCTCTCCCACATAGCATTTCCTCAGCCATGCTCCAAGTAAAGGCCAACCTTTCTACCTCTCACCATGACAGGTGGCCTGCCTAGCCTACAGGCAGCAAAGAAAACTGCCAGACATGGTGCACTACAGGTTACTACAGGTGACCTGCAAAGCTGGGAGAATGAACCAGGCAAGAAAAAACATATCCAGGACCATCTGAGTGCAGTTGTGAGTTCTTCCCTGGAGAAAGATGTTCATCCAGACAAAGGCCTGGATGAACTTCTACCCCTTGTCCAAGAGTCGAAGAGAGAACCGGGTGGAGAGCAGGAGGAGAGAGGTATTTTATACATCTGGGACCATGATGTTAGATGGTCAAGGGAAGTGTTCTCTTGAGCTTCAGGGGTAGGGACATAAATGGCAGGAAGGCACTGTGACCACTCCTGCACACAACGGATAGCCTAGAGAGCCCAGCTATGACCTGGGGTAGTAGGTGGGAGACAGACTTGATGGAGTTTGCAGAGGGTGAACTGGAAGGAGAGGCTCTCAATGTACAAAGCACACACACCAGTCACATACAGCAAATGCCACCACAAGCTGCCGGCTTAGGCAAGGGACTAGGGAGAAACAGTAGACTGTGGTGTTACACATGTGTAGATCACTGCCTCACATGACAAACTGATGTAGGGAACCCACTTTGTTTCAGGAAAGGCATTTTTATTTTTATTTTACTTTTCTGCTTTAAACTGAAGTCTCACTGACCATTCTTCAATCCTCTACACCACACTTGACCCTCTGATGGTGCTGGATACAGGACTGGCAGCTGGCTCCACTCTGGCTGCCACACACTTACGGACATTGTCAGCAGTATCACACACTACATACTTCATACAAAAAATTAAGCATGATGACAAGCTTTTTTTTTCTCCATACACGTTAACACTAAATTTGAATAGATTTAACGAGTACACAACTCTGTAAAAATTAGTTTAAATATAGGCATGAACACTTACTCCAAAGTCTGTAGGTGCCTCATTTGTCAAAGACAAAAAGTACTGGGATAAGATTTTTAAAGACAACCTTATGTTTTGCTCTACCCATTAAAAACCCCATTGTGATCATGCCCTGTGCTTACAAAACATCTGTTTGTTTGTTTGTTTGTTTGTTTTTTCTAGGCTTTCTTTTGAAAGTCCAGGATTTCACTGCTGATCTTTACAAGTTAAAATTAAACACAGTGACTTCTTACTCAGGTAGTCATTCATTCATTCATTCATTGGTCATTTCTTAAACATCTTCCATTAGGGTCAAACATTTGCTAAGCCTACGAAATGCAGTAATAAATCAGCTAAAGTCTTGGGATTGCGGAAACAGTGTCCTATTCCAGCCTGGCTTGTCCGCTGTCTTGTCTATTCTTTCCTTCACTCAGGAATGATAGCGATAGCATCCTTAACATACATACATACATACATACATACATACATACTAACATACATACATACATAGAAGAAACAGAGCAGTCTGCACCAAACCTGAGACACAAAAACAACACTGGCCCTCCTTGGCCATCACACCCATCAATGTCACTTAGAGCTTAGTTATTATTCTAAAGACTGCTTGGTTCACTGCAAGAGTCATCTATGCAGTTACCCTTGCCTTCCTTCCTTGCCCTCCGTCAGTCACCTAGGGGTGGCTGGAGAATGCTGGGCCTTTGCTTCCTGAAAGATCTAAACAGGCACAAATGCAACTCCCCTGAGGGTCATCGCTCTGCTTCCCCCTCTCCCCCACACAAGGCTTTCAGAAACTCCCTCAGCCAGAGACCCGGTCCTTTTCTTCCAGCCCTGTGGGATATGCACTGTGTCTAAGCACAAGGACCGGACAGACATTCACTAGGTGCTGATCAGTGATGCAGAGCTAGAAGTTCAACACTCTTGGTCAGCAATCTCTCTCTAGCTCTGAAAAGTAATGGGAATTTAGTAAGGGAGAACTGTGGTTAGAGTCCAGTTGCCTCTGACATCCTCAACTATAAAATGGGGATATACATCCTGGAAGAGTTATGAGAATTCAAGAATTACCACTTCTTGCCAGAAAACCAACTATACTTTCAAATTTCCTTTAAACATTTGAGGTTTGTGAGCACACCCAGCACCCTCTGTGCCCCATGTCAAGTTGCTGTCTCATAGCAGGACTGATCAAGCCAGGCTCACCTTGCCAGCCAGGCTTGCACACCGGCTTCACATCTACTTGTACCAGGGTGTCCTGAGCAGCAGGCTTCTGTCCACAGTCATAAGCAGTTACCAGGATCTCATACTGATGCTGCTTGTCAAAGCTCAGCTTTTCCGTGTTCCTGATATTGCCTGAAAAGCAGAGATATGCACAGTCATTTTTGGTCAAATGAAGCAGGCTGCACTTATTCCAAACCCCTTTCCCATACCATCAACTTTTGGGACAGGGAGATAAAATTGTCCTGTTACCCCCCCCCCATCTCTTTGTGAGAAATAAAGGGCAAGAAAGAGTGAGGGCTGCCATGCATTGTCTCTTTGTGCTTTAGTGGTAGGTTCCAGGAGACCTCTGGCTGAAGCCATCTTTCTGTGCAATGGGGCTGCTAGAGAATTCCAAGTCGCATCTAGAATCCAACTGGCCTGTACTTACAAGTAATGAGTTGCCAGAAAATGACTCCTGAATATACACAGGTGTCTCTGGTGCTGGGTGCAGAGTGTTTATCTACCATGAAGTTTCTGGGAAAGAGATGGAATCCAGACAATGTCCTGGCACATAATTTTTAGCAGCTGGGCTTGTCGCCAGGAATATTCACTGCCTCTTCTCACATTATTTTGCTACCAAATAGGAAGTAAAATCAATAAGAAAATCTGTGACCTCCCTTCTGAAAGCCGCATAGAATAACAGATTTCTCGCCCTAAGGAAGGAGACATTTTTCTTCCCCAAGAGAGAACAAACAATATACTGACAGCCATTTGTGTGTGTTTGCCTCAAAGGAATTTAATATTATGATCAGAAATAAATATTTTGTCATTAATGAGCAAAACTTTGGCCTTTTTTCTTGTTTTTGTTGTTGTTTTGTTTGTGATGGAATACTATTCTTGCTCCAAAGGGAAAAAAATTAAATAAAGACTCCAAACATAATAGTTTTAAGTGTTTAGTGCCAAGACATTAACATCTTCAACTTCTAGGAACCATTTCCTTCCTATTCTCTCTCTCCTTTTGATGTTAGTGGTGACAGCAAATATGAACTCAGATATCATATCTTACCCAAACTGAAATTTTGAAAACAGAAACAAAACAGATCAATAAACACAGATGGATTCTGATATCTATTTTATATTTCACTAACACTAAAATAAATTTATGTAAAATAGCTTTCTTCATTTCAACAGTTAATTATTATTTATCTGAATTGGGGGAATCTACAACAACAACAAAAATCTTAGAAAATTCAAAAATCAAACTTTGCTCCAAAGCCTTGAGAAGCTGATTCAGCAAGCACATTCACTAGCATAGCCTGGTGGGAAAGTGGAGGCTGGCCAGTGGCAGAGAGGTTGACAAAGGCTCCCAAGACACAGGAACAAAAGCACACCTTAGCTTGTGTGCTCTCAGCTATTTCTGGAAACACATCTGTATCTACAGATGTGGGACCATATTTTCTCAGTAAAAATTGGCTTGTTATGCTTCTGTATTCCTGCCTGATAGGTTGAATTCCTTGTACTTTTCTCCAGATGTTAGTTTTACTCTGAAGGCCTGCACAGGTCTGGAATGGCCATGACATCATTTGTCTATCAGCTGGCTGCAACCTCTTGAGGAGTCCAGTGACTCTTTCCCAGGGTTCACCTAAGACTATTCCAAAAATAGAGATACTTACATCACAGTTCTTAACAGTAGCAAAATTACAGCTATGAAGTATCAACAAAAATAATTTTATGGTTGGGGGAGGGTCACCACAACATGAGGAACTGTATTAGGAAGGTTGAGAACCTCTGTTCTATGAACTCTGCAAACTGGCCTGTGGCTGTCCACCACAGGAAGGGTCTCTGCCAAGTAGAAACACCAAATATTTCTGTAGCCATCAGACTGAATGTTAAACATCTTAAATCTTTCTTCAGAGTGAAACGACTCCAGAAAGGCGGGGGCCACTAAAAAGAGGTGGACTCAGGGGTGACAATCCATGTAGCATTAAGCAGACAAAGCACTATTGATTGTAGCAGAAAAATAAACACACAAATGGAATCTTTGGCTCAATTTGTTGTGGCTCTACTTCTGGAACAAGTCTTAATGAAAGTGTCTGGGAGACTAATTTACTTTCCCCACCACCACAAATTCCATGCATGTGCAAATGTATTTCAAAGCAAAGAACATGAAACATTAGGCCACAAATGAGAGTATAATAATGGGCCCATTGTTGCATGGGATAGGGTTTCTTCGGAAAAGGACACATATTTGACATGCTTTGAAAGCTCAGAAAACCCCACCATCATTGTGTCTGTTACAAATGTATCTTTTACTCCCCTTGGAGTCAGCTTCTACCTCCTGGCTGCTTGCCAGAGGTGGGCCACAGTAAACTCAGGGAAAGCTGTGGTCCTAGGCATGTTTACCAAAGTCTGAATAAACTTGGAAACTAACCTTTAATGGCCAATCAGAACTTACATTGCATATTAATTAAGTTTTTAACTCTTTAAAAAAAAAATCTAATGTCGGAGAGGAGGGTGAAATGAACACACTGAAATCTGAAATCCACACTCTTGCAGGTGGAATTTAAGTTGTGGCTATCTTTCTGGAAATGTGCTTGGTGATCTATGGCATGCTGTGTGTGCGTGCATGCATGTGTGTGAAATTGCTCAGACCTTTGAAAAGGTAATTCCTCATCTAAAACGTGTTTCTAGAATAATAATAATAACAAACTGCAGATACATGTGTTCTTCACACACCCACACCCAAAACTGGTCTGGTAGTTAAGAGACAAGTACATCTATGGAATGCTGACCAGGTAGTAATTACAGTGGGTTTTTAAGGATGGGTAATATACAGATAATTTTAAGTGAAAGGGGTGGGGTGGGGCAAAGACAATGTGACCATACTTTAATTTTAAAAGTTCAAAGAAATATGGTAGACTGTTAAAACGCACGCGAGCCTGTGTGTGTGTGTGTGTGTGTGTGTGTGTGTGTGTGTATCTCTTTTGTTTTTGTTTTTTTCACTAATCTGTCTACAAATACTTTAGATTTCTGTGTCTTGGCTACCCCAAATATGCTTCAGTAAATCATAGGAGTGAATTATCCCCGCAAGAAGGCAACTTTATTTCCCAGGACTTGGAGTGTTAGATTATATAATAATTCTATTTTTAATTTTTGCTTTCTGTAATGAATGACCATACAAGTTTATTTCCCAGCCAATAGTATACAAGGGTTTCCTTTTCTTCAACCACCTTATAACATTTGTGAAATGAATCACTTTGCTTTTTGATAAAGGTATCATAATATTTGAAGGGTGACATCTCATAGAGATTTTAATTTGTGTTTCATTTATGGTTGATGACACTAAATACCTTTCCTCATACCTTCTGGCTGTTTAGATGTTATCTTTGGAAGGAAGTCTATACAGGTGCTTGGCACTTACTTTCCCAATGAGTTTTATGAATCTTGTATATGTTTTGCATAACTCATTATTGTACATATGGCTTATGAATATTCTCTTTATCCTGTAGGCTGCTGTTTTGCTTTGTTGATTGCTTTATTTACTGCAAAAATATTTTTAGTTAACTGTTTTTCCTTGTTGTGTCACCTATCCACTTAGTTTGCTGAGAAGTTTTACCATGGAAAAATATTGAATTTTGTCAAATATGTTTTCTGCATCTATTCAGATGGTCATATTGGTTTTTTTTTTCTTTTGTCTTGTATTTGATAAATATGGCACATTGCACCATTTCATTTGCATGTGGTGAAACGTCCTTATATCCCTAAGATAAATTCTACTTGATCATGGTGTATGACCTTTTTAATGTTATTGAATTTAGTGTGTATGATAGTTTAAATGTGAAATATGCCCCACAGGCTCGTGTATTTAATCACTTAGACTTTAACTGATGATACTATTGGAAAGGTTGCAGAATCTTTAGGAGGTGGGGCCTCACTGGAAGAAGTGGGTCATTCGGAGTGAGACTTAAGGCTTTATAACCCAACTCCGTTTCCTGCTAACCTTCTGCTTTCTGGGTGGGGATATAGTGTGGCCAACCAGCCTCCTGTTCCTGCCAGTATGTCTTGTATGCCTTCAGCCCTTCCTTACCAGTATGGACTATAGCCCTGTGGTGGTTTGAATAAGAATGGTCCCCATAGGCTCATAGATCTGAATGCCTGGTCATTAGGGAGTGGCACTACTTGATAAGGATTAGGAGGTGTGGCCTTGTTGGAGGAAGTTTGTTCCTGGGGATGGGCTTTGAGGTTTCAAATGCTCAAGGCAGGTCCAGTGTCTCTCTCTTCCTGCGGCCTGTGGATCCAGATGTAGGACTCTCAGCTATTCTTCCAGTACCATGTCTGCCTGTATATCCATCTTCTCCACTATGATGACAATGTACTGAACCTCTGAAACTGTAAGCCAGCCCCAATTAAATGCTTTCTTTTATAAGAGTTGCCAAGATCATGGTGTCTCTTCACAGCAATAGAACACTGACTAAGGCAATCCCCAGGAAGTATAAGTGAAAATAAATGTTTCTTCCCTTAAGTTGCTTTTATCAAGGTATCTTACCACAGTGATGAGAAAGCAACTAAGACACAGTTTAATATTGGTTAGTGGGACTTGCTATGATGAACTTGGCCATGTGGTTCTTTGGCATTTAGGACTGGTTTGAGGAAGGAATGTGGAACACTTTGGAATTCTGGATTATAAAATGATCCTAATGGGCCACTCTGGTGTGTGTGTGTGTGGGGGGGGGTTGGGGGTTAAAATACAATGCTGGAAGAAACATAGATAGTAGAGGCCTGGTTCATAAAGTTTCAGAGAGGGGAACAAGAACTCTGTTAGGAGCTGAGTTAGGGTCAATTTGTATGATATTTTGTTCAAGAATCTGGCTTCTTTCTGCTGCTTCATGAGAACTTGTGTGAAGTTCAACTTAAAGGTAATGTGTTTGGCAGAGGAAAGGTGTTGGAGCAAGCTTAGAGTTCCGGGCTAGAATAGTACCAACAAGGCAGCTCCGAATAGCTGCTAAGGAGGCTGAAGAGCTGGTTACAGCTCTTAATGAATTGTGCTTGGACTGTGAGTCAGAATTCAGTCTCATCAGATCTCATGCTACTATTTTGCTGAGGATTACTTTTGCGTGGACATTAGTCCATACTCAACTTCTAGACTTAGCATGGATAGAAGACTACATTTTTAAATTACTGATTCAATCTCCTTACATGTTTTACCTACCTAGTCTTGATAGAATATATGCTTCTAAGAACATATTCATTTCTTCTCAGTTCTTCAGTTGGTTGGCATATAATCATTTTTTTCCTGTGGTATCAATTTTCTCATTTCCTTTTTCATCTCTCTGGTATAGCTAAAGGTTTGTCAGTTTTATCTTTGCAAAATGCCCTTCACTGATTTATTCTCTCTCTCTGTCTAGTTTTTTTTTTTCCCCCTGTCCCTTCTGAACATGGTTAGTCCACCCTTCTGCTAATTTTGGACGTATTTGTTTTTTTGTATAACATTAAGTTATTTAAATTTTGGGTCCTTTAAAACACATATTCTTACCACCATAAATTTCTTCTTAGAACTGCTTTTCAACACCTTTAGTTTGGGTATGTTACATTTCCACTACCACTTATCTCCAGATACTCTTCAGTTTCCCTTCTGGTAACTTCCTTCACCCATTGGTTGGTCATGTGAATGTTACATAATTTCCTTTGATTTGTGAATGTTCCATCTTTTCCTTTCCTTCCATTATTATTCTCTAGTTTCATTTAGCTGTGATTAGAAAATATGGTTGGTGTGAATTTATTCTTAAATTTAAGGCTGGTTTGGGGCTCCAATATTATCTATCCTAAATACACCTCCTGTGTGCTTTGCATTCTCCTGCTTTGAGAAAATATTTTGTGTATATTGGGCTTTAAAATATAATTTAAGTGCAATGTTTTCCTATTGGTTTTCTGTCTAGATGATACGTCCACTTCTAAAAGTGGGTTTTAAAGACTCCCACTATTATATTGTTTATTTTTTTCATACAGCTTTTGAGTATTTGCTTTGTTTATTTAGATGCTCAATGCTGCATGCATGTGTATTTACAATTGTTTTAGCCGCTTAATAAATTGATCCTTATCATTAGATATTGACCCTCTTTGTCTCTTGAGTCTTTCACTTAAAGTCTATTTTTTAATCATTTAATTACTCTGAGAATTTTGATTGGTGGATTTAGTCCATTTACATTTAAAGTAATTATTGGTATGTAAGGTCAGGACTATTGGGATTTTAAATTATTTTCCAGTTGCTATCTAGGTCCTGACCCTATGCACCTCGACCTTTACTTTCTTTGTGACTTAACACTCTTCTAAAGTAGTATGCTTTTATTGGTTTCCCTTTTGTGTAACTGCAAGGATTTGCTCTGTGGTTACTATGAGGCTTACATGAAATATCTTATAGCTATACTGGTTTTTTAAAAAAATGACAACAATTTAACTTCAGTAAAAGCTTAGAACCACCTCTCTTCAAGTGTGTTTTAGAAGTCACAGTTTATCTGCTTTTGCATTTGTTGATATATTATCTTGACTGTACTCATTCTTAATACTTTTGACTTTAAGATATATTTGTAGGAAAGGACTTTGGGAGCACATTCCCCATGGAGGGATGCTCCCTTAACCTAGAGACAGGAGGGAGGGCCTAGTCCCTACTCCAAATGACTTGACAGATTTTGTCGACCCCCTCCTGGAAGGAACCACCCTCCCTGGGGAGTGGGGGTGGGTGGGATGGGAGGGTGGTTGGGGGACATGGGAGGAAGGGAGAGAGAGAGAGAGAGAGGGAGAGAGAGCGGGTGGGAGGGAGAGGAAACTGGGGTCAATATGTAAAATAAGAAAAAAATTAAATAAAACATTAAAAAAAAGATATATTTGTAGGTAATTTATCTACCCCATGGTAGTATCAGAATATTGTGAATTTGATACGTACTTACTGGTACCAATGACTTTCTTATGTTTTGACATTATTAAACAGCATAGTTTTGCTACAGGTGAAAGAGGTGGAGTCGGTACAGGAAGGCATTGGACTCCACCTGGTGCCTTTCACCCTTACTTTTGCTGCCCCCCCCCCAATAAGCAAAGAGCCTGGCAAGGTGAAGAATCAGTAACATCTACTTTAGCTGTGGGATGAAAAATCTGGAGAACCTTGATTCAGCAGCTTTTTCCATGACAGATTCATATGCAAAGAACTTCAAGAAGAGCCCACAGGGAAGCTCATGACAATGGGAGCTCCCTAGGTCCGGTCTTCATTACTTAAATAGCTGCTTTTGTAAATGTCTCTGCTGGGAGCCCACACTCCCCTAGGGGTGCCAATTCTCGCCATCTTAACTTTGTTAACCAAAGTTGGAGGCTGAAGCCTGGCAAAAGCCCATTACTCACTTTTAATGAGACAGCCAGGGAAATAAATTGGCATATGTTAGCAAAATGGCTCATCAAGGTGAGTAATTATCTTCATGACTGGGGCAGTTTACCCTCAAATGAAAGAATTTGCATCTCATCTTTTTCTTGTTCTTGAGAACAAGGACCAGGAGGCCAGGTGGAGCCTGACCAATCATCACAGATGTCTTCATTCTTGCTGTTTACCATGTGCTTGTCATGCTCCCAATTCCAAAGCTTTTGTGGGGACAGACTGAACAACTAATGCCAGGGAAATAGAGACCTAGAGCCTAAAGGAGAAAACACAACATTTCTATTGTTTTGTATTGTATAGTGTGTGTGTGTGTGTGTGTGTGTGTGTGTGTGTGTGTGTGTGTGTGTGTGCGCGCGTGTGCATATAATAGGCACAGGCCAACTTTCACAGGGTTTAGCTTGCTGGAGAAGCTGTGAGGGAGTGGTTCAGAAAGCTTCTACAGATAGAACTTATCTTCACGCCAGCATTCCCATCTTGAATTTTATTCTAGGTCTATTTGGAGTCCATCATTAAACCTAACACTTGGTTACGGAATGCTTCGGGTCTTGCAACTTTTGCATCCTACTGTGCTACTTAAATGGCATCTGAAACCAAGTGGGGATAATATATAGATATCCACACAGCTCACACTACGAAAGAGCAATGCACTCAGTAATGCACTTGATTTCATTACAATCAAGGTACAGCCCAAGTGGACTGAGTTGATTGGACCTCTGGCTGTGTGTACACTATAATAAGATTCATATTAATGGTGATGGGAAATATCCAAATGGTTTTATGAGACCATTTTCAGTTCAGTTCAAACTGGGAGGAAGGCTCTGCAATGGTTGAAATTCTCAAGGGGGGGGGGAATGGTAGCAAGAGTTTTAGAGATTCCTTAACAAAGTTATGGTTGGAAGGTGTTTTAAAATTCCCAATTGACTTAGTGTCTCTTCACTTGGAAGCGGAAAGCAGGTTGTTGTGTTGGTGATTGGTGGTGTCGGCTTATGTTATAACTGATAAAACTGAGAGGGATCTAGATGTGGGGCAAGGTGATGATGAGGCTCACATCTGGATAACAATTAAATAATTACTCCAGGAAACCATCTTTGTTTTGAATACAAATGTGTGAGACTATGAGTTCTCCAGACCATAATCATTGAGGTCCCTTGAACTTTCTGGAACTAGTTTAGACTTAGCAAGGTTCTAATCACAAATGAGCCATCGCCCTGAGTGCACACAATTAGGTCATGATGCCCAGACAAAAGGCTTCAAGAAGGGGCCACTGTGAAGTACATATGGGGCCCTCTTGGCCTGGAGAGCAGGGGCAGTGAATTTTCTTTCCTGACTATACTGGGATCTTCTCGAGACACTCACCATTTCTGTCAATGGCAAAAGGCACATCTGTTGTGACAATTTCATAGTTGCAAATCTGGCTGTACTGGGGGGAGCAGTCCTCATCAATGGCTTCTACCTGCAGGATGCTATCATAGATCTTGCCCTCTGTGACGATGGCCTTGTAGGCTGGCTCTTTGAAGGTGGGAGCAAACTCATTGACATCCTTCACCTGGATGTGGACCACAGCCCTGGAGCACAAATCAGAAAGAAGAAATGATGTTAAAGAAGGACTCACACCATATGTTGTGGGCCATGTGAGTGAAGAGGCCTCAAGGCTCTCAGGGCAGCTGTTGCATGAGTGCCTCTGTCTTCCCTCCCTCAGGGAACCAACCATCCACCTGTTTTTGCCTTGGAGCTGAGCAAGTATGCCCCAGAAAATCCTCCCCATTCTTTACCATTCCCTATAGCCTACTTCAGGCTCCATATTCCCTCCCCAACTTCTCCAATTACCCTGTTCCCCTTATCTAGTCACTCATTTCTCCACGCAGTAACAAATCAACTAGCTCTTACATTGTGCTATGCTCTGAGCCAAACTCCATACAGAGAGCAGAGTTGATTCATGGTAAGATACGTGATAGAGAGAAGCAAAGAGCTTTGCAGAAAGGAAGAGAAAAGTTTAGACTGGATATGAGCCAAGGGGAGCGCTTAGGGAATGCTTCTTGGGGGAAGTATTGTTTTCACTTGGTCCTGGATGTGGGTTAGGAATTTCTTCCAGAGAAGAAATGAGGGTACAGTATTCCCAGAGTAGAAATCAGCTGTGTAAATGCTCTGGGGGCACTCACCATCACCTTGGCCGCATCTGGGTCTTTTTCCAATGTTATAACATGAGCCCCGCCACTACCACTAATCACTACCACACAGCCAACTTTCTGCTCCTTTGCAAAGCGATGTTAATGGAATTAGGAGCTTTAAACCATCTTCCAGCCATACCTCTGGTGTGGCTCATAGATGGATATATTAAAAAATAATAATAAAATAGTTTATAAATAGAATAAATGGAGGTGGGTGGCCCAAGGCAGAAGGGGCAAACAGGGCTCTCACTTGTGTGACTTCTTCCAGGCTGCCTCCCGGGGCCCCACACCACAGTCATAGGCCTGGATGATGAAGGTGTACTCCTTCTGTAGCTCACAGTCGATGGGACTCTTGGCACGGAGCCGGCCCTCTCCAGATGTCTTATTGAGCACCACGGCCTCAAAGGGCAGCTCCTGCCCATGGATCTTGAATGCACAGATTTCTCCTGCAGAAGAGAGTATATATGGTGAGAATCTCCAGGGTTAAGACTGTACCTCTACTGAGCCAGATCCACAAGTCCAAAACTTCCACATAATTTCCTCCACATGCTCAGAATCCTCTAGACTCGCCTCTACAGATCAGCCCTGCATGCTCATTTCACAGAGAACAAAATGGAAGTGTTTCATATATGGGGATGTCACCCAGCAGGTGCTTGTGTATGGGGAGTGATGTTTCTCAGTTTCTTAGTCTTCCTGGCAGATTTTCCCTTGCCCAGTCTTGGATCAGGGACTTGCTAACAGTCAAAAAACAAAGGACACTTAATGGCAAGAATTGAAGGCCAAAGATTTACCCAGTCTATTGTCTTGTGACATCATCTTCAATGCTTGAACATAGGTTTCAGTGACTAGAAGTTGGTTAGAAGCAGGGTCCCCGGTCCTGCCAGATCTATGCCAGAGCTTCATTCACCTTAAATATGAGCATTGCTTTTCTGTGTCCTTCACTCTGGTTTACACACAGCATATTGCTGCAGCCGAATCCCCCTCCCCCTGCCAGCCTCCATTATGCCTCTCTACCTCTCCTCACAGTGGGAGTAAGCAATTTTGCCTTTTGAAACAGTGGGAGTGAGCCTCTATGAGTTCAAGATTCCCCATGGAGCTTGAACAGCTAACTTCTTAAAGAGCAGAACATGTTGTGAAATTAATGCAGTTTGCCCCTTCAGCTGGGTTAATGTTCATTATAACTGTTTCTCTGCATCAAAATTACAAGGCCACGAGAATCTTCTTTTTTCCTTAATTTGTGAATATTTATTTCTTGAACTCTGACTATAGAGCAGGCCCTGGAGTAAACATTTTGAGATGTGCTGAAAATTCGAGATGTGTCCTCTATGGTATCGAGAGCACTTGTAGACTTCAGAAAATGGTGTCCAGCTGCCCAGAGGCCACTTACAGCAAAGAGGGGAATGCTAACACTCTGAGATGGGTAGAAAAGCTCACCTGTAGGCTACTGAAGTATGGAGCCAGTATATCTGGACTCAAATTCCAAGTGTGCTATGTATGTATGAATGATAAGATGGTTTGGGAGATGAAGTCAGGGAGAAGGACATCTACTCTGAGATGTCTCACCCTTGGTCTGACATTGCTTCAGGTGTATGCCTGGACCAGGGAAAGGCATGTGAACTGCCTGGTGTACCTATGAGAATTTGCTGTCATGGTGATAGAGGCGCTGGCTTGTCTCACTCTAGCGCAGACCCTGTCTAGCTGTTGATAGGAGTTGACAATTCCAGGCAAAGGAATAATGTAATTGATTGCATGCCTGCTTTGGTCAATGATCTTTGTATCTAGGCAATCTTATTTGACCTTCATAACAAACCTACAAGGCAGCTGTTCTATACAAGTTTATACAAATCATTATTATCCTTTTGTTGTTGAGACTGGGTCCTACTATTTAGTCCATGATGGTCTGGAACTCACAAGCCTCCTACCTTAGCCTCCTAAATGCTGAGATTATAGGTCTTCATGACTAAACTGATATAAATTAGAAAAAAAGAGGAGGAGGGGGAGGGAGGAAAGGAGGAAGAGGGAAAAAAGGAAGAGGATGATAATGAGGTTACTTGTTCAATGTCACCAAGGTAAATTTGGGCATTAAACCTAGGTATGGCTGACTTGTAAATCCACATGTGTTCTACTATACCCTCTATATCCTAAAAACGCAAAGATGTCTAAAGGGCCCCAGGGATGCCTGTGGGAATGATTCATATTCTAATTCAAGTATGGCTGAATGAGTCCCTCATTTTCTACAGAGACAGCATGCCTGATTTCTTTCTAACAATGTTTTCTAAGATGTTCAATCAATACCAATCTTACCAGTGGGCTTCTGCTTTTCTTATTATTTCTTTGATCTTCAATTTCATTATGAACATTCCACTTTCACTACCTCTTTTCCTTGCTGTTTCTCAAATATAGATATACAATAATGGATAAAATGGGTTGTGGAGTAGGTTCTAACAGGAACAAAGGTGCCCATGAACTGTTGTTACCCAAGATTCACTGGGCATCTCAGGACTGTCCATTCTGCCAAGGGCAACTCTGTAGCCTCTAGGGCAGAAGATCGGGTTTTATCTGATCCTTGAGTTTAATGTCTGCTCTGAATTAGCTAGTGTGTCCTGTGATTCTGTCTCAAGATCAGTACCTCTCTATGACAATGTTACCAGCCAGTGTCCTCAAACTGGTTGTGGGGCATTCTCTGGAGTGCCCAACCACCATCATGATTATAAGACTAATCAGACCATTTCATTCTGAAGAGCCAAGTTAGACCTAAAATAGATGAGGGTAATTTTCTGCTGGAAACATCTGATCACAACCAAAGTAGTTCACAAGACTCAGCAATCCTTAACAAGAAAAAAGGGAGGAGGGAGGGGAAGGACATAGAGGAGACTCGGGGGGACACGGGAGAAGTAAACTTTTCGGTCACATATTCCATCTAGTTTAGTTCAATGTAATTCAGTGGAACTAGCATTTTGGAGGACTAACCATTATGGCTTGTATATGAGGTGACTGTCCCCCCAGTGGTCAGTGTGGCCTTGGGAGGTGATTGAATCATGAAGATTCATGGATAGAAGATTCACGGGTAGATGGATGGATTGATGATCATTGCTATGTTCATAACTGAATGGGCTGTTAAAAGTCAGAATCTAGTTACACAAAGTAGGTCATTGGAAGCATACTCGTGAAGGATAGAGCTTGTCCCTGCCTCCCCTTTTCCCTCTTGTTCTCCCTCCTGGTTGCCTTAAGGTGAGCAGTTTTGTTCTACCAAGTATCCCCAACCACGATTCTCAGGCTCACCTCAGGCCTAAGGCAATAGAACCAAGGGTTCACACAGTCTCACCTGGGGCCCAGAGCAACAGGGCCAAGGGTTCATGCGTTGAGGTCTCTGACACAATAAACCATAACAAAACATCTTTTTAGGTATTTTGTTAAAGTGACAGAAAGCTGATCAAATAAACCCTCGACATTGCACTACACTAGAACCACAAGCATGGATGAGTTAAGTGCCTTCAAACATAAGGATCAGGGGTTATCAAGCAGCCCTTTGATTGGAGAAAGGACTGGTTATAAGCAGGACCAGCTCAGGGACCACTTAGTGTTCACCCACTCAGACTGAAACAGAATTTGGTCCCATTTGAACATAACTTGGAGCTCAAGTCATACTAATTACCAAGTCTTTTTACTGAGAACTTATGCTTTAGTTGCACAAACATTTTCTTGATAGATAATTCATCCACTCACACAGTAAATATCTATCAGGAACTAAGTGCTAGGCATCAGTGTAAAAGTGATGAATGCAACCAGCCTCAGCTATGGTCCACACAATACTACTTGCAGGAAAATAAGCAGTCAGACAGCCACCTCCCTAGATGAGGAACAAGGAGTAAGTATCACATGCACACTAAAGAAGAGATGCAGAGTTCATATCTGGTGGGACATACAGGGCATGCTTGCCTAAGCATGTGAAGGCCATGTAGAGACTTCTAGAGGAGAAAGAGGATACACAATGCTACTGGAATGACAACTTGTTGCAGGCAGAAGGGACAATATGCCTTGGGGACCTTCAATAGGAAGGGGGCAGGGTGGCAGGAATAGGGTGGCAGGGCTCTGTGGTCAGAAAGGCACTGAGCTCCAGTTAAATGTTTGTTTAAACTGGTGCTGCTGAGGCTGGGGAGGTGGCTTCAGGGTTAAGAGAGTGTGCTCTGTTGCCATAAGGACCCGAGTTTGAATACCCAGCACCCATGTAAAAAGGGAGATATGTCTATTCATACCTGATACATAGCACTGAGGGAGACAGATTCTGGGAGTCTCCATGTGCTCACACATAGGCACATGGGGTATAAGCAGCACACATACAGACATCACACGCACAAACTAGCACTACTTAATAGAGGAAAGGTTTTCCATTTTTCTGTGGTTAGAACTATGTCAACTAGAAAAATTAACATACCACAAACTAGAAAAAAGAAAAGCCAAGAGGAGGATCCAGGGTGGAGTTTTGCAACAAAGATGTTTACACCAGCTCTCAGCATCAATATCTGATACACCGGGTCACCTTGGTCTAGAGTTTGTTACTAATAAAGGTTTTCTGTGGGAGGATGAAACACTTAAAAGAAAAACAAATCAGACTGAATGGTCTCTGGATAAAAACATCACTATCAAAATCTTTCTTTCCAACATGCTTTGTGTGTGTGTGTGTGTGTGTGTGTGTGTGTGTGAGTTAGTGAGTGAACTTGTGTGTCAGAAACTGTATGTCACATATAGGTTAGCTGAGCTGACTAAGTCTCTGGTTGTCCTCCCCTACCCACTGTGGCTGAAGGTAGATGATTTGAGATTCATCACAAATGCCCTCTAGGGCCTGACCAGAAGAAACAAACAGTCATAGGCCCAGGGTGGGATGTGCTGGCTCCCACCCTTCCAGCTTCTGTTCATAGTGCACAATTGCCTTCTCTTCCGCAGTAAGGCATTCCCCAGACTCAGCAGAAACTGGTATTGCTGTCTCTCCCACTCTGTCAGACGTTTCTGAGGAAAGTGTCTTTAAATTGAATTTCTTTATCTTTTAAGATTTATTTTATGTGTATGACTCTTCTGCCTGCATACATGTACTCACAGAACTCAGAAGAAGCCATCTGATCCCCGAAACAGGGATTACAGATGATTGTGAGCCCTCATGTGAGCATGGGGATTGATCTTGGTCCTCTGCAAGAACAAGCGCTCTAAACTGCTGAGCCATCTCTCCAACCCTCTAATTGGCTTTTGAAGAATATTTTGAAAGCACAACTCTTACACTTGATCAGTTGTGCTGACCCGTCTTTCAGATGAGGAAACTGAGCTTGGGAGGGGTCAGAGGGCCCCTCAAAGGTCATTTTGACTATAAGGAATGAAAAGTACATGTGTGCATTTAGTCCCAGCACCCATCAGCTCATGCATGACACTTGTCACCCAGTCACTGGGTTGCTTC